ACTAGAAATATGAAATGCTAAAAATATGCTACATATAGGTATAAATGTATAATACTATTTGGAAGTATTGATGTATAAAGAAAATGTATAGGTTAACCTTCTATTTTTATTTGCATTATAAAATATTTTTAGAAATTTCTGATAATACTATATAATCCTAGCTGCTGACAGGGTTGAGTTTTTCATTCACTATGAGAGTGGGTTTAGAGGGTAAATTAAAAAATATGGGTAGTTGTATTTTATTATTTTATACCTAAAATTGTAATTTGTAAACTTTAGATTATGTTTTCAGATTGATAATGTTTTAAAAATAAATTTTAAAAATGTTTTAAGAGTCAGTTAYAAACATTTTCCTTTAAATAAAAAAAWTTAKAAAAATCATACTTCAAAATASTTAATAATAACTTATTTACGTGGTAGAATTAAATCATTTATTAATATATTTATTAATCTTTGATTACACACACATATTAWAACATAACATGCATAAAGTAATTTAATGGAAAACAATCCGAAAATTGCTCTGAACTATATCATATCTAAGCTGTAAAATTAAATTTACTGTTTCTTCCTCTTAGACCCTTCTTCTTAAAATTCCAAATAGGAATACATTTTTCCAATAGCAGTTAATTACCAATGGATGATTTAAGTAACACTGCCATGGGATCTCACACAATAATTTAAATATATAATACATATTTGAGTCTCAAAAATTATAATAGATTWAAAAAATGATATTTTATATAGTTACATAGGTACCCTGCATCATAAAAAATTTCAAACTTATAATGAAATAATGGATAACATAATATATATATTATACTCTCCTGCCTATATTATGATGTCTGGTATTAATACAGTATACAGAAAATCAAAGTTATTAATTCCAATGATTGTTCTCATAGCAGTATAGCAACAATTTAATAATATTAGTGAATATTCAACAATGATTAATATTGAATATATTTTATTTGTCATATCTAAATTGTTTTACATTTTGATAACAGGATTATGAATTCGTTGTTTACAATAGTTCTGAAAAAAACTCATTCGTGAAAAATAGAGAGCTAGTAATAAGACCCACAATTCAATCAGATAGTTTTATCAGGAATGGTCATTTATCATTGAACGGGTAGGTATAATATTATGATTTTTTTTTATTGTTAATTGATTATACCTAGATGTTTTTAAAAAAAGAAATTAACCCATCTTTAAATAATGTATTATTATTATTATTATTATTATTATATTTTTAGTTGTACAAAACACAAAGGATCTGTTGGTTGTGAGATGGTTGCTTCATCCTATATTATAATACCTCCTATAGTTTCAGCGAGACTTACCACAAAAAATAATTTGTTATTCCTTTATGGACAAGTGGAAGTTATTGCTAAATTAGCATTAGGAGATTGGATAGTTTCAGGTAAATAATAAATAATAATAGATTATAATAGAGATTCGAATAGTTTCTATAATTATTATAAATTTATATTTTATGGATTGTTAGAAATAGCGTTAGTTAGTAAATTAAATGAAAAAAACAAGTTGGTGTTAGCTAAATCATTTGGAAATACCGATTTGAAATGTAACGGAAGCGATGAAAGTGCAATTGTCTTAAAATATGGATTGGAAATTGATGAGCTATATCATGTAAAATCGAAAATGAAGAAATTAACATCACAAGATACTTGGCACAATGGCTATCATTCATTTAAACTGTCTTGGTCTCCTGAAAATATCATATTTAAAATAGACGAAGAGATTAACCATTTGGATACAACGAATTTACCATTGGATTTCATATTTGATTCCGAGGTAAGAAGCTACAAATTTTAATTATTTTTATATTTTAATTTATTATAATTATTTGAAATCCTACTGATTTATATTATAGTATTTCTTGTCTATTGGTGTGTCAGTTG